CTTCCTTATAGGGTAACACAATGGAGGCTTTCAACTCCTTTCTACTCATGTTGTCGTCATCATTCGTACTCAGGTTATTGCTACTATTTCGTTTCTTTGTGTTCGTGCGAATCTCCTACTAAACTGTGGAGGATAATTGTTAACTATTATTAGTGCTTATTTTATGTGTTTCAGTTCCTTGTTTAGGTCTTTGCATTGACTAGTCAGTTTTCTAGCTCTATCATTTAGACATTTGACTAAACCTGTCATAACTGACATTGGATGAGATGACTAGTATTCTAGATACCTATTGGAATGTGTTTCTTTCTGTAGACGATATTATCTAGACAGGGGTCTGCCCTTTGTTTTATCCTGCAATCCATCATAGGTGATTCTCCTTGTGAAGTGATGAACATTTGTAGCTCAGGTGAACGGTCAGAGAACACAATATAACTAAGAATTCTCCTTTTCCATTTTCTACCTTGTAAGTGAACTGGATTGCGCCGACTGCTGAGTTTACATGTGCAAGGAAATTGTCTACATGTTCATCGAATCAACACCCAACACCTGTTATAAGAATAATGACGCAACACCTGCATACCAGAGATCTGGAAATTTTTACTACCAATAAAATCAAACAATATCAGGTGACAGGACCATGTAAATCCAATGTCGAAAGTAATGTGATTACATTGATAAGATTATGAGCAGTAATAATCTATGCTCGAAACGTTATTGAGTAAATAATATTGTATCACTGTGTGTTATGAATCAAATAAACGAATCTTATGCGGAATTACATTCTACCACAATGCCTAAGTTTCATCACACTTATTACTATTATTTGTCCCTTGTGTTCCTAGTGGAACATAGCGCTTCAGTAGCACGTCGCCATTTCACACTGTTCTCTGCAGTCTTTTCAACCTGGCTCAACCACTGCCCACAAGCTTTTATTTCTTCTGCATATTTGTTGAGCGATGGATTCTTGATTGGTTCGTTGCCGGAGTGAGTTCCTTGTTGCTTATTCTTATTCTGGCCATCTGATCTTCATTGTTTAGCCAGCGTAGGCAGCTGTTGATAAATGTCTGTAGTTTGTTGGAAATGCTTTTCGTGACGCGGCAAGTTTCTGAACCATATAGCAGCACTGACTGACTTGACGTTGGTGTTGAAAATCCAGATCTTGTTCACGCTTTATGCTGAGTGCAGTCTATCTCTAGACTGATTTCAGACTAATGAAGGCCTGTCTTGCTGTCTTTCCGATCCTGGTTTTGATATCCCCATCTGTGCCCCTGACGCCTGTAGTTGAAACGATGCTGCCTTTTTTATGTAGGCAAGTGGAAGAGACAACTTCCCTTACCTTTTCTCCCATTGATGGTGATTGGTGTTTGTTGTTGATGCTGTTGTTCGTCGGGTATCTTCATCACCTCCGTCTTCTCCACATTCACTTCAAGTCCCGTCCTCGCTGCCTCTTCTGTCAACTTGTTAGTTTTCGCCTGTAGATCTTCTAGTTTGTGCGACAAGATGTTAGACATCAATCATCATCCTCGAAATCTAAATCTTCTAGGGTCTTTTCATCGGTCCTGTCTGCGTATGCCCATCTTCTTGCCACTCACAGTTTGTTGCATGATCCTGTTCACCACAATCAGGAAGATCATGGGTGATAGTAGGCAGCCCTGTTTCACTCCTATCTTCACTTCAAAGGTATCACTGAGCTTTCTATTGTGAATCACTTGGCATATGGCGTCTTCATATAGCTGTTGAATGAGGTTGATAGAGGCTTGTGTCACTAAAACCGTAGTGTTGAAGCAGCTGCCTAATTACCTCTCGGTCGACGCATCGATCTAAGGCCTTTTCAAAGTCGATAAAGTTGAGGTATAGAGTTGACTGCCATTTTATACTCTCTTCTATAATGATGCGTAGCGTTACAATCTGATACCCAACCAACAACAACAAACTCCAATCACCATCAACTGGAGAAACTTAAAGGAAGTAGCCTCCTTCACCTATCTAGGAAGCGCTGTCTCAACTACAGGCGGCACAGACGAGGATGTCAAAGTCAGAATCGGAAAAGACAGCAAGACAGGCGTTCATTAGCCTGAAATCAGTGTAGAGATCTTCTGCACTCAGCATAAAATGTGAACAAGATCGGGATTTTCAACACCAACGTTAGTCAAGTCAGTGCTTGTGTATGGTTCAGAGACTTGGCGCGTTACGAGAGGGATTCCCAATAAACTACAGACATTCATCAACAGTTGCTTACGCTGGCTGGTTACTGAAGATCAGATGGATTGCCAGAAAGAATAAGCAACAAGGAGCTCTGGGAACGAACCAACCAAGAAGCTATCACCCAACAAATATGCAGAAGAATATGGAGGTGGATTGAAGTGGCATACACTGAGAAAGCCGACTGGGAACATCATGCTTCAGGCCAGGCCCTCCAGTGGAACCTCCATGGCAAGCGACGAGTTGGGCGTTGGTGGCGAGGGTGACATGGAGGAGATCGTATGAGGAGGAAATAAGAGCTTGTGGACTGTCGTGTAGCCAGGTCCAAAAGATTTCGGAGAACAGAGTTCACTGGATACGTGCTACTGAAGCCCTATGTTTCATTAGGGACAAATAATAATAAATGATTTGTCCTCTCTGAAGCCAGCCAGCCTGTTCCAGTCGTAGTTTTGAATTCAGCACATCTTTTAGTCTCTCCAGGATTATGCGGCATAATATTTTGCTTAAAGTGGACAGCAGCATGACACCTTGCCAGTTCTTGCAAGCACTTACGTCTTCCTTCCTCAGAAGTTTGACAAGGTAGCCCTTCGTCCAGCCAATCAACCTTCCTTTCAAACCTTCTGCAATAATGGTGTGAGCATGTCCTCTGTTCTCTCTGCGTCTATTTTCAGTGCTTCAAGATGGATTCCATCTGGTCCTGCTGCTTTCCCGAATGTCAGCAGTTTTATGGCATTCAGGACTTCACTAAGCTTTTGTCGGAGGGCTTCTGTTAACTGACAGTTCCGTAGCTTCTGGTGGTATTTCTGAACGAATTGCAGGTGGCGGTGGTTGATTGAAGACCTTTTTGAAGTAGTCGGCCCATCGTTCCCTTTGTTTCTCCTCTTTGGTAACTAAATTTCCCTCATCATCTTTTATTGGTTTCATCTGTGTTGATCTCTTCCCTCCCAGATAGGTAGTAACCTAGTTATTTGATATAGTGTTGTCAGATCTGTGTCTCTCCTCTCAGCCTGCAGCCTGTTCTGCTTCACTTGCCAGTGTGTCGTAGAAGTGTCTTTTGTCTTTCCGCGCACCCTTCTTCACTTCTTTGTCTTGTCCAGTGTTTTATAGGTTGTGTTCAGTTCCTCCTTTTGTTGTTCATCCTTGCCGCGCACTGGCTTATATTCTGCTTCACCATCACCATAATCCTCTCCCTCCTCTATCAGCTTCCATGTGTCGGTCGAGATCCATTCCCTGTCCAGTCCTGTCTTGCTTCGTCTTCCTTCCTAATATGGTTATGCAAGTTTTCTTGCACGTCTCTTTCAAAGAGTCCCAGTGTTGTTCCATGCAGGTTTCCTCAGGAATGTTGCTTAATGTCTGCCATTTTGTCCTGATGGCTGATTGATGTGAAGATGTCTTTTGCAGTTCCATCCTCCATTTCGATTTCAGGGTGGGTGTTGAACTTGAAATGTGGTCCTATCCCCAGCTAGTTTGAACTGAAGGCTTTCAACTTGATTTTGAATGTAGGTTGCTTGTATTAGATAGTGAGTGTTGTGAACCTAATCTGCTCCCCTTCTTCATCTTGTGTCAAGTGGGCTGCGTATCCATCTCTACTTTCTTGAGATTGGGATGAAGATCTGATTTTCAGTGTAGTGTGTCCATCTGGTGAAATCCATATGGCTTTGTGAATACTTTACACTTATATTTCAATAATTTACTTCTCATGCTTATGGCACGAAAAGAAGGTGTCATATCTGGATTTGACACACCTGCTTCAAAGGCTTTAGGTATTTGAGTTCTAGTGATCATCATTTTAGTTTTATGTTTCACTAAAAGTTGTACCTTTGGAAAACACTTCTTTTGAAAAACGTTAGCGTCTAAGCCCCTGATAAAAAACACCCATTTCAGCCAGTCTGATCATACATTCAGTTGTGAATTCGATTTACACAGGAATAAAAAATACATAAGTAAATAACTGTTTTATGATAAAAGGGTGTTTACATTAAAGAGGTAATACAAGTAATACAGATAAATATTAACTAGGTAGGTGTAAAGTAAGGATATATTGTTGCTACACGGACATTGCTGGCTTGAGGATTGCATATGACTACCGAGATTAGGGTTACACTATGCTATTCAGTTTTCGTTTCCTTTCATTATCATAGGGTTACTCTTCTCATCTTTTTTAGTTTTTAAATAAACTGATTTAACAAGTAATTATGTAATCAGTTTATTAAAAATTCACTATCCAAGTATATCACTTTATCCGGATAAACTTCATTTTCTTATTCCACTCTGCAAAGTTATAAAGGGGACTAATTAATTTAAGAAACCATTCAGTTTATATAAGTTATTTCTCAAATCGTTACAATGGCTGATATCAGATTCCTTTGTTATTTTATGTGTAGTGTGTTAGCCTGGTGCTTGAAGAGGATTTAATGGGCAAATCTGATAGGTGATTTTTATAGGAGTCTAATAAACATATTATATCTTGTTTTTGAATAGGAATAAGCTTAAACATTTGGTTTGTGATTCAATGGAAATGAAATTAACTTTTAAGTACGAAGCAAGTCGTGGATATATTTTAATTGATCACGAGCATATATACGTATATGACGTATATGACATATTACGTCAGTAACACCTATGTGCATGTATTTGCTTTGTGAGGTTTTCTAACTTTTTAACTTCCACAAGCTCAATTATTATAGTTTATATACGAATAACTTCTTTGTAATCATTAGATGATAATTTCTTAAAACAATCGAAATCTCATGTCTTTGATGAAATATTGTATTTCTTCCTTGTTTTTATTATTTTAGCTTGGTAAATTGTCCTATTCCAATAATCATATTACATGCTGAAGATGATGCAGTTGTACCATTTCCTTTGGGAAGAAAGGTAATTCAAATACAATTTATGTGATCATTTTGACTAGGCGTTGTTTGGCAGACTAGTTAGAATTTATACTGGGTGATGATTAAAGGTGAAATGGAAATTTTGACCATGGCCGGATTCGAACCAGCGATCACCGGTGCTGGTAGCTGAGTTGGTAGAGCATCGGGCCGGTAACCCAGCGGTAGCTGAGTCGAATCCAGCTGCTGTTCAAATTTCCATTTCACCTTCAATCATTAGCCAGTATAAAATTGATATGCTTTAAAAGATTTGTTACAGTCTTATTCTACACTTGAATGTTTTCTATCCTTTCTCTATGCACACATTTCCAAACGATTTTAGAATGCAGTAATGGATCTGTGATTTATTGGTCTAGGGCATTTGATTTCTTGGGTCATAGATACGAACTTTATTGCACCTATATAGGTTTGGACAACCCGGTAGTACCAGCATTAATCCTTTTACAACTGATGTGGTTCCTTACCTATCGCACATATGTGTACGCTGTTACTGAGTGCATTTCAATTTTAATTTTTTAGTTTTCAAGAGTCTAATACAAGTATGAAGATTGCACTTTGTCCACCATGAATGATAATAAATAGACTCTTCCTCATTTGTTAATTAATGTGTTATTTTTGGTTAACACTTCGATGATAGCTTATATGAGATTAAGTTGGAAAAGGTAACTATGGTCGAAGCAAAATGTGCCACCAATCTATGAAGTTCATGACCACTGGGATAAGCTACATGTGCGTAAGAATTTAGGCTTTTAGTCTGACGTCCACATGACAGTTGAACTTATTTGATGATTATAGGTGATATAGCGCAATCGCATAAACACCTTGTTATGTAATAAAAAAAAGTATAACATTTCGTTATCAGCTTTAGCCCATCTTCTTTGTCTAATGGTTTTCTATAACTTTAGATTTTATTATTTCCTTCTCCTTTGCATTATACTCTCACCCGTTACACAGCATTCAAGTGCATTACGATTAGGAGATACGGAAAGTGTTCGCACTTCATTTGATGCACGAAATTATTCATTTCAGTCCTTATAACTGATACAAAATGTGTTGAATCAAGTTTATCCTCTACGCTTGCTTTCCATAAAGTACGCAAATTAATACTGTTGAAGGGTGTTATATATGTTCTATCCATGTCATAAAGCTAATCACGATACTTTTAAACAGTAATTGAGGATTTAGAGTGGTGATTCAGGGAATTAAGATGCCTTTTACTTTGATGGTGAGACCTTCAGCCTAGAACTGTTTCTAAGACTATTGTGTTTGTTGCAGATATACATCTAGGTCTTGGAGCTATTTTAAATTGATGGAGACATTAAATTAGGGATTTTAATTTTACCTCTCTTCGTTTTGATTAGTAGTCAACCTTTTTCTATTGATCTAATCATGTTTCGGTGAATATTATAAAGCCTTTTACCAATGAAGAGACATTAATTGTGTTACACATCCAGTGCTGGGTGACAGCTGTTACTTTGATATACTTTTCAGACTTACCTGCTGTGATTATGCGTCTTAGTTTTACTGCCTAGAATGGTTGTTTCTTTGTGCGTCACGATCCCAAGAAGGTTGGTTGGGTAATGTAAGGCCAAAACCATCTACTGACAAAATGTTAATAGTTTTCATTCTTGTGCAGTTTGAGTAAATTTTGTAATCCTAGCTTGTCGGGTATCGAATGGTAGTGTGCTTCTCTGTTGTGCTGATGTTTTTTTAGGAGAAGTTTACAACTGTCAAGCCGAAATTTTGTACATTTTATACTGAAGCTATCAGCCATCAGCTATGAGATTTTTATGAAATGAATACATACATTCAATGACCTTCAAAAGGTAGTTTGCGTGATCTCAGTCAAATGTGTTTTGGTTGTATGATAAGACACCAACTTCCAAAATATGTATGCTTTGAGAATCCCAGTCGCCTATATATTTCAAACCATACAAAGATACTTATTCGTTATCTTAATCAAACCCTTTTTCGTCATTTTAGGTGACCTATGTTGTTTTGAACAGTACGTCTTCTCCTACTTATTGTACTATCGTTTCAAAATATTTGAACAATAGAAGCACTTTCCAGTCTTCTAAAATTAAACTGCCAAATGCACTTTAAGGCTGTCGGTATCCAAATCCTGTGTGGACTTTGAAACCAAGTCTCACTCGCCATGACACATCGGCACATGGTTATACGTTTTATTTCGGAAAAATGCATAAATATAAATACATGAAAGTGTAATAATTTACCTGATCTCACAAATTTAGTTCGGTAATGTATACTGTTTAATTTGGAGATGTGAGGAGGTTTGAGAGCTGACTCCTGTAACGTCTCTCATGTAAGTATGACATTGAGTTCTAGGATAGAAAGTGCACTTTTCAATTTGATATTTGTTGACTGTCATCTGTCTGCCATTTGGCTGAGTAGATTTGTTAGGAGTCAGAAGATAACGGAAGGTATTTTTAAACTTAGAGGCCATATACATTAAGTTAACAGTGCATGCAGATAGATCATATTGTAAGTGCACTAGTGGCCAATCATAACTCTTTTCATGGTTAATGCCTTAACGCTGATAATTCTTTGGTTTGAGAATGCGTGTATCTATAACTGAATGGACATAAAAACATGCAGCTGGACAGTTTCTAAGTTGTTTGAAAATAAAAACATAAAACTTGCATTCAAGTATAAAGTAAAGTGTTAGTGGCCATCATCTCAAGTTAGAGTAGAATTACAATCAATCTGCTATGTAAATAGCGAAACATTTAGTTGGTAACCTTGTTTCAAAGGTTAGTCAAGGTCAATGAATCTTTTCAGTTCTATTCAAACTTATTTATGCATGAAATTTACTGCAATAGAATCTGGTAGATTTAAGGAAGGAAAACAACCCAAAACGAACTTACTAATAGTTTTATTAATGACATCTACCTTTGATGTTTAGCTGATAAATAAGAAGACTGTCCCTGAAAAGACGATTGTTAGCAAAAGGATCATTATGAAAAATAAGTCTTTGGTAATTTTTCAGAGTGTATTTTTGTTACATTAAGCAAAACACTTTGATGTAAAGTTTAAATGTCCTATATCCACGCTTTTATCATCGAATATTCAGTCTCAACCTTAAAACGACATAAATATTAGTCTTCCAACTATAACTGAGTTTATGAATGCTAATTCAAACCCTCAATTTTGCGAGACTAATCGATCTGATCATCTACCAACAGAAATAATCGATTAACCTCCGAGATGTCATCTTATGTAATAAAATGTATTCTCTACAGATCCCCGTAATGATATAGTCAGATGTCTTACCTCGCATCAGTAGCTGAACTATATTAAGTAGGTGTATTTGGTTATATATACGAGGAAGTCTATTGTCAGCACCAATATATTTAGTCTGTGATGGTTGATATGAGTCATTTAAGATAATGTCTGCATTCTGGCTGTTATCAGTGAGATTTTAAAAATTACTGTGAGAGATTTTTCAAGGTATGGCATTAAATCGATTACAGCGATGTAGGTGGATTCACTTTTTATCATTAAAATTTTTTGAAGATTATGATAATATCCATCTATTCATCTTCTCATATTCTGTTCGTTTACTTTAACATCAGTCTATTTCTATTTGCCTTCTTTTCGTGCTACCTTGAAGTAGGACATTTGTAACTTATACACTTCTGTTTAAGGTTCTGTGTTGACTTGTCTGATCACCACCTCCGTTGGGTTACACTGTTGATTTAATGATCATTTCAATTTTTTGAATCTATATTTATCAACAGCTTTGTTGCTAATTGATAAGATCTCACGGTAAAAAAGTTCTTTAAAAAACACCAATTTTTGAGTAATGAAACAACAGAAACTCTCTTCAGTCTCCCCTTCAGCCTCTTGGCAGTAGAACAGTTAAATAATCATCTATTTTGAAAATGTTCTAATATATATGCTGATTGACAGGAAGAGGGTAGTGTTTAGAACATTAGGAGTACTTCCATTTTTATTGATTTATTAGATTTATCACACAGTGTAACAGTATTGTTTACTGGATCACGTTTCGGACATAATTTATTGTCCATAATCATATCAAGATAACTACACAACTTTGAGATATCCTTTATATAGTCCTAATTTTCTCGTCTCTTTGTGAGATGGGCACTAAGATTTTCCATATATATATCCGGATATGTGAAAAATCTTAGTGCCCATCTCACAAAGAGACGAGAAAATTAGGACTATATAAAGGATATCTCAAAGTTGTGTAGTTATCTTGATATGATTATGGACAATAAATTATGTCCGAAACGTGATCCAGTAAACAATACTGTTACCCTGTGTGATAAATCTAATAAATCAATAAAAATGGAATTACATTCTACCACAGTTTTACTCTTATATTAACATTGGGAATAAGTGACGCACATGTGATGATAGTGTTTTGGCTCGAAAAATAACCGTTTAAATCTAATAAACTAGAAGTTCTGGCAATGTTAGTATAAGCACTTTAATTGAATAAAGTAATATGTTTATTGCTAGTTAACTGTATACTAGATTGGAGATGACCAAATTTTTATATTACAGTTTTTATCAAACTTGATGAATTGCATTTCTAATAATGACTATCCCCTGAACTAAAATGAATCAATATCATAACTTTGGTCTTTTGATCAACTGACTGGTTATTTACTAATAAAAGAAGCTATTGATTATATACATAAAAATGAAACCGAGTTCAGAAAAGTACCGTCAAATCATCCTATACCAAGTATTCAGTTAAGGACTATTAGAGATTATGTTGGTAACCAGTTAATTCTTTCCTTTGTGAAAGTGACAAGATATAAAACACTGATATATCTAACAATCTGTCTATAAGATATTTTTCGGATAGTTTTTTTCATTTAACTTTTAATATATAAATCATTTTTAGTAGTGATGGGCAGTGACTAGCATTGGAATCCAGGATCACTAGTAATAATATTAGTTAAAAACTGTGGTTATTCATTGTATTTATTTTATTCTAATCATATAAAGCTTGCTGAAACTTTATCAACTAATGGTACATCAGTAATGTTCAAGCGATACGATGGCAAACATGGTTACCAGCACAATTTTATTCATACAGCACCAGATGTTCCAGATATCATTAGGTGAGTATTTGACTTGTAGTTATTCATAATCGATTATTACTGAAGACTAATTTTGTTTTGGTGCTATTCCCTAATTTGATTGATAGCAAAAATGTAACGGGAAACCTTAGGCATTGTAGTCCAATATACTTCCATATTAGATTGTTTATTTGATTGACATAGCACACAGTGGCACAGTATAATTTACTGGATAACACTCCGAGCAGAATCTATTGCTCAGATTTATATCAAACTTTCAAACTTCCTTTATATTGTGCAATAGTTCATTCATTCATTTTAATGGTAGTGAAACTTTCCAGAAATCTCCAGTGTGTGATGAATCATTCCTGTTACGCGTGTTGGATGTAGATTCAATGAATGAAGATTCTGTGATCAATCACTGCCTCCACCTAGCTGTGTTGAATTTAAGTATTGTCACCCTATGCAACCCTCTAGTCTGATTATGAGTCAGTGCATGCAGAGTGATAGCCAAGTTTTTCTCTAAATTATTTATTTTACTAGGGTCTATCATTATCTATTTCGCTGAATCTTTGTGTTCTGCTATTCTGATTGACGTAGATCGGCTGCTTTGACCTATATATTTGACCTGATAATCATGACATGACATTTGATAGGTTAGGTCATCTTTCTCAACTGACTCTGTTAGATATTTCAGCCACCCTCATCCCATCATTGTTTGAATTAAATTGTACTGTGTGACTGTGCTATATCAAATAAACAATCTAATATACATAAAAAAGCATCCTAATTCTTCAAAACGTTCAATTGTTATAATTTGTTAGTAAACTAACTCATTATTTGAATGTTTATTCGAAATGAAAATTTGATCCAACTTTATCAAAGTAATTCACTGAAATTTTCACTGGATTTAAAACTACAACCGGAACAGGCTGGCTGGCTGGCTGGTTTCAGGAAAAACAAATCATTCGTGGATCAAATTGGAACACAACATCACCCCATGCATCATCATAGAACAGACCATAGAATGGAAGTCAACTCTCTACCTCACTCAACTTCTTCAATTTTGAAAAGGCCTTCGATCGATGCCTCGACCGAGTAGTAATTCGGCAGCTCCTTCAACATCACGCTTTTAGTGCCATAAACCTTTATCAACAACCTCATTCAACAGGCATATGCTATGTTATATGATGAGGTTACATACCAAGTGATTCACAATGGAAAGCTCAGTGATGTCTTTGGAGAGGAGAGAGACAGGAGTAGGACAAGGTTGCTGCCTACTATCACCGATCATCTTCGTGATTGTGGTCGACTGGACTGGACTGGACTGGACTGTACTGGATTGGACTGGACTGGATCATGCAAGAAACTGTGAGGAGGGAGGAGATGGGCATACGCTGACCGAACAGATGAAAAGACAGTGGACGATTTGGATTTCGCCAACGATGATTGATGTGTAGTGTCTTGTGGCACAAATTCGAAGATGTACAGGCGAAAACTAACAAGTTGGCAGAGGAGGCGAGGCGAGGCGAGGTGAGGTGAGGTGAGGCGATGCAGCGAAGGATGACGATACTTCCTTCAGGTGAATGCAGAGAAGACAGAGGTGATGAAGATACCCAACCAACACCACAACCACGACCAGCACCAACAACAAGCACCAATCACCATCAACGGGAGGTGAAAGCAGCCATGATGGGAAAGACAGCAAGACAGCCTGCCTTCATTACTCTGAAATAATAATCATTGTGGAGATCTACTGCACTGCACTGAGCATAAAGCGTGAACAGGATGTGGATTTTCAACACTAATTCAGTCAAGTAAGTCAGTGCTTCTATGTGATGGTTGAGAGACTTGGTGGCGCGTTTTGAGAAGCCTCTCCAACAAACTGCAGACATGCATCATCAACAGCTACCGTCTACACTCACTCAATACTGATACCGATGTTCAACCAGATGGCCAGAATAATAAGAATAAGTAACAAAGAATTCTCACTGACAGCGAACCAACCAACAACCCATCACCTAACAAATATGCAGAATAAAGTTGAGATGGAATGGATTGGACATAGACTAAGAAGACCATTTGTGGACATCACGTAGTGGGTCAAGCCAGACCATGGCAGGCCCTCGAGATGAACCTAAGTTGGAAATGACCGGTTGGGAGTGTGAGGCGAGAGTGACATGAAAGAGATTATGTGAGGAAGAAATGAGAGCTTGCTGGCAGTAGTGGAGCCAGTTTGAGAATAGTGCAGAGAGGAGATTGAGATGGTGACGTGCAACCCAAGGGACTAAAATCAATATTAATTATCTTAAATCGTGTATGTAAACTCCTGTGGACTCACTGCCAAGTCCATGAAAAATTTAAAAAAAACAACATTCAATAGCCTATGGAATACAAGATTTGATGCAAGTGAATTTTTACAGGCCTGATAAATAACCATACGTTTTTCTCATCCATATCCTTGTTCATTATTGAGTATTCATCAAGATTATAGCCATTAAAATAGATAATCATATGATACTGAAAGTTGATTTCAACATGTTGATTGTCAAGAAATTCATATTGAATGTTATACTTTCTAACTGCCTACCTTCTCATTATCTCAGAGCTTGAAAACTCACCATCATCTTAATCAAAATATGACACTTAAGATAAAATTATGGTTCTCAGTTAAATCCTTTTTATAATTTAAAATAACAGAATATATTCAAGATGATATATTGTTATATTTATAGGAGTCCATTGCCATTATTATACCACACTGTTTTTTTTTTAATGATAAGTTGAAAACATTTTCTAAATACCTGGGAATAGATTATACATTTTGAAGATATTTTTAAATGATTAAAACAAATTCAATAAGAGAATATTCAATGAAAATTTTTCGGTAACTTCAATAACTTACTCAGATGTATTTATTATTCAAACTTATATTGATCACATTATTAACCTTAATATTATTATATAACTATCACCAGATAAGTTTAATATGAGTGTTTCAATTATTTGAAGTTTGATTTATTGATCAAGTTATCACCTTTTTTTTTTAAATCAAAGATTTTATTTATTGTTCTGATGTGATTCCCTTTACTCTGCGTCTAAATTGTCTTATCTTTTTTGCCTAGTTCATTTGTTCGATCCACACTGTCTGGAAGTTTCAGTGCATTAGAAGATTTGATGATTTGACTGAGTTTTTAATTATATTCAAATATAAAGAAGCGTGTTTTAAATGACTATTTTTATTCTTCGAAATAGAGTTTACTTTATAATATTTCTGTATGTTTGTGTATACACTATTGTATCTGACTCAAAGCACAGTACCAAAGATCATGAGGTGTCAATCTCTCGAATCATATCATTACATTTATATCATTACTTCATTTGTGTGCATGAAGAACATTTTCAATAGTTTGTTTTATATCATTTTTCACTGAACAATATACTATTTTCTTCTGTTTTATATGTCAGATTATTTTTACTTCATCTTATTTATTAACTTACTTTTCAATTATAAATAAACTAAGTGTTTGTGGAATACTGTGTTGTTGGTTTTGCTTTCTGTAAGATCGTCAAGTGAAGAGAAACGCTTTGGTGTTTGAAGCAGTGGGTGCTGGGTTTCGGTCTCAGTGGAAATAATATCATTTACTCGGATGCAGGCACATCCAGCTGATGAGTCTCAAATGGGACGAAATTCGCGTAGTGGATTCCACAATATATTAGAAGTAGTTGGTCAGATACTGCTACTTCGAGACTGGTTGTGTTATTTGCTTTAACATAATTCAGCTTACTAGGGAAAATTAATTTAATAGACTTAATGAGTAGCTAGAAATGCGTCGATAACTTTATTTTCTCGGTGAGTTGAATCAGATTAAATAGATTAGGGATTGTCAAAATGCAATTTCAGAAAAATGTGTTTGACAGTTGCCAACTTACACCATTTATTATATGGAGATGTAAGAATACCTATCCAATACACGAGTATACTCTACCACAGTCTGCTTTCTTGTTGTATGGCTGGGGCACAGGTGTGTTGAGAAAGGAAGACATGAAGAAATCAAGCCTTTTTTTCATGGTTGTCTTCGTGGAATCACCCGCGTATGGTTGGATCACCGTATGCGTGATGTTGAGATTGGATGTTATGTGCCTGACAAAGAGTGTAAATCAATTGATACAACTATGTACTTTCATCGTCTGTGGTTGTTTAGACAAGTGTTGAGGATACTGAACAACTAACCGTCTTGATGTGTGATGCTGTATGAAGTAGGATTAGGTTATGTACGTAATGTTTTTCTTTTATCTATTTAAAACAATAGGATTTAAAGAAAGTATTACTGTTCTGTCGAATCACAAATCTCCACCAATTGATATTTGTTACTGAACCTGCGGTATGCACAGTTTTTATCTGTGAATTTACACTTTAACCAACCAGTATTAATGATTGTTCTCTGTGTTTATCAAACAAAAATATCTATTCGTGGTTTATCCATTCTGTCGTAGTGTAGTAAGTAACGTGGGTACCTTTATGAGATACATTTTGTTTTTATTATGGATCACCATATTTTTTAGTGGAGATAACAAACCGACAATCGTATGTGTAACGTTCTTCAGAAAGGTTCATGACAGTTACATATATTTTAACGTTAGTCAGAAATCAACTAAATATCGACTCAGAACACACAGAACCGAGATATCGATTGAGGAAATGATGTATGGCTTACAGTTTTGCCTGACCTCCACAGTCTTCAAGTTTCTGAAAAAAATATATAGACGAACAGGAAGAGTAGGAATGGGATCACTAATATTCCCAATCGTTGCAGAAATATTTATGGATAGTTGTAAAAACATAGCTTGCAAAACGTATAATCCTGCACCTAAGATGTGGTGGCGATATATGGATGACATATTCACTGTATTGAAATCGGAACACGTAGGCAATTTCCATACACATAAAATCACTGGTGAACACATTGTACTTCACATACAAGGAGAATTACCTATGATGGATTGCAGGATAAAACAAAGGACAGACCCCTGTCTAGATAATATCGTCTACAGGAAAGAAACACATTCCAATAGGTATCTAGAATACTAGTCATCTCATCCAATGTCAGTTATGACAGGTTTAGTCAAATGTCTAAATGATAGAGCTAGAAAACTGACTAGTCAATGCAAAGACCTAAACAAGGAACTGAAACACATAAAATAAGCACTAACAATAGTTAACAATTATCCTCCACAGTTTATTAGGAGATTCGCACGAACACAAAGAAACGAAATAGTAGCAATAACCTGAGTACGAATGATGACGACAACATGAGTAGAAAGGAGTTGAAAGCCCCCATTGTGTTACCCTATAAGGAAGGTACAGAAGAAACTTTCCTCAGGATCCTCAACAAAGTTGAGATTATGCTGGCTGGCATTCAAACCTACGAACTCACTCACTCAGAAATAAGCTACGTCAGATTAATGATCGGATAGAACAACCTCAGCAAATTAATCTTCTCTATCAAATTCCGTGCAATGACTGTGAGGTCAAATTCATAGGTCAAACTAACCGCTCGAAGTCACTTAGATTAGTGAAATATAAGGAATTTAGGTAAATATAGAAAAAGAGACCCGAATAAGATCAATAATCTAGAAAAAACTGGGTTACTGCAACTCATGCATTGGCACACAACCACTGTACATAACTCCAATATAATTAGGTGACGAGACAGATTGATCACTGAATCTTTGTTCATCGAATCAACACCCAGCCAACACATGTAATAGAAATGACGCAACACCCGCATACCAGAGATATGGAAAATTTTACTACCAATAGAAAGAGAAAATATCAGGTTACAAGACCATAGAAATCGGTTGTTAAATGTAGCGTGATTATATTAATATTATTATGTGGAGTAATAATTTATACTCAAAACGTCATCAAGTAAATAATACTGTATTCTTATATCATATAAATTAAATGAACAAATCTAATATGGAATAACTTTCTACTAAAGTTTCCAAGTTTTACATATATATTCTAATTTTAGTTATGAAGTTGTATATACATATAGCAAAAGCTAAAATATGAGGAAGAGGAAGTATTTAGTAATCACACCGATTTTGTCTGTAGGTGATCTTCGAATGGAGTTGTTCATGCACAAATAATGCGTGTTCAATACATTGTAATCAAACATTTGTAAGCATCATCTTAAATTACATTTTAGGCAGTTTGTAGAGTTCTTAAATATGTTGGGAACTTGATATTTGCTTTGATTACTTATAGAAGCTGTACTTTCCTACTTGAGAATTGTCCATCACATTATTATTATTATTATTATTATTATTATTATTATTATTATTATTATTAGTCCCTTGGGTTCCTAATGGAACATACGGCTTCAGTAGCACGTCTCCAGTGAACTCTGTTCTCTGAAATCTTTTGAACCTGGCTACACGACAGCCCACAAGCTCTCATTTCCTCCTCACACGATCTCCTCCATGTCACCCTCACCTTGGATGCCCAACTAGTCGCTTCCCATGAGGGTTCCACTGGAGGGCCTGGCCTGAAGCGTGATGTCCCGGGTCGGCCTTCTCAGTGTATGCCACTTCAATCCATCTTCACTTCCTACTGCATATTTGTTGGGTGATAGAAGGAAGTGGGGATGGATTGGGCATACACTGAGAAGGCCGACTGGGGACATCACATTGTAATGCATAAACTGTTTGATGGGTTAATATAGAGAATCGGTTTAAATGCTTTAATTAAAATGAAGCACTGATTGAGTATTATTTTGCGAATTTTGTCCTTCTGATTGGTTGGATTCATCACTTTCAGTCATTTAACTTTGAGTTCACTTGTCTGACAGCAATTTCTATATAATATTTTATGAATGGAAAACTCTATGATTTGAATTTAGGCAACCATACCATCAACTTCACGTTTAACGTCCAAATGACGAAAATCAGTGATATTTTTGTGGTCTACTATCAAGGTTATACTTTATAATGATAAAAATATGCTACAGTGAATAGCAGAATATCAATTTTATTAATCTCAACAGATTGCATGAGATATTCAGAACTCCTACAGACAAAATTCGCCAACAATTTACTGTAAACAATAAGATCATTGCAGTAGATTGTGTAAAACATGGTACGATACCACATCGTTTATCACGAAAAGATAAACCAAGAAAGGAAATGTACACAACTTTGATAACAGAAGGTTTTCCTAAGGATTCGTAATGTAGATCTGCACCAATCACATTGCCGATATTTAAGAATCTCTGTGACATTGTAGTTGGTTGTCACCAGTTCACTAAGTTCTAACTTTTGGTCTGAGTCGTAATAACAGACTTAAACTACCTGGTTTGAACTACGAAACATGCCCATTGAGTTATACAGAAGAGATAATTCAGCGAAGAAAATTTTGTTTTTCGACGATATCCCTTTCTAAAGCTGTACAATCGTATTTATACATATCATAAACATATAACAGTCTATTATAAAACAATAGGGTATAATTACATCATTAACCTAGTGCTAACAAAACCAGAATCAAGAATGCAAAGTAGTTGCGTAATAAACTAAGACAGTAGAAATAACGAGGAAGGCAAGGAGTTTGACAACGTGAAAATTGTTGGTAGATAAGAAACGCAAATGTTGAGTGTTCACTTGATAGATGGTTGTAAAGAAGGTGAAGAATGAGACAAGGGTCATAATGAAGGTGATAATAATGAACTAATTTCTACTGTCTTAGTTTATTACGCAACTACTTTGCATTCTTGATTCCGGTTTTTTTTGACACCAGGTTAGTGATGTAATTATGTCCTATTGTTTTATAATAAACTGTTATATGTTTATGACATGTATAAATACGATTGTACAGCTTTAGAAAATGATATCGTCGAAAAAGAAAATTTTCTTCTGTGAGCTGAGTTGTTTAATCGTGAAGCTTTGATCGTCCTTCTGGATTCGCTATGTAGACGATACTTTTGTCATCATTAAAAAAAGATGATGTAGAAAACACCCACAATATGATCAACAACGTTTTCAATGACATCAAATTCACAATGGGGAAGGGGTCAAACAACCAAACTACCATTCCTGGTTGTTCCGGTCAATAGAACAAATACGAGGATGCTGGAAACCCAAGCGTACAGGAAGCCAACACACACTGACCAAATCCTCAACTACAATAGCAACAACCCAACGACACAAAATCACTTGCGTGCAGACTCTACTCAGAAGAGCGAGAACACACTGCAGCACAACAACTTCACACAGAAACGAAGAAAATTACTTGATGTCCATCCTAAAGAAGAACGGCTACCCACGAAGCTGTATCAGAAGATGCCTATCTCGTACATCAACAATTATAAGTCATTGACAGAAATTAATAAACGCATCATCCTACCATACATAAAGAATATATCAGGAATCATGACAAGATTACTGAAACCACTTGGTGGAATTGGTGTGGCTCATAAACCAACAAATTCCCTGCAGACGTTATTACCTAGACTTAAGGATGGGAAAACCAAA